TGTTTTTCAGAAACTCATTAAGGATGAATTAAAGGAACATAGCTACAATCTTGAGAAGTTACTCAAATGGGTGTCAGCTGTAGAGATAAGCCTTGGATCTGAACAACCATTGAAAGAAGAGCCTAGACAACTCAATAAACAGGTTAAATCAAACAAGGTAGGCTGGAGATAAGTTTGGGATTATGGTAGATGTATGCAGAATGTTACTGACTTGAAAAAACATTTCCATGGAAACAAAAAGTAGGAGGTACTCTGTATCAAAAATACCTTTTATTGGTGCTGCAAGTCGAGTTGTTTTCAGGGTAAAAAGGGATTCCACCATGACTTTTATTTTGTTTTACACATAAACTCTTTTTTTCTCTTATTCAGGTTATTGCAGCTGATGTTGTTGACCACAAGAAACCAGTGACTGATGCCCTCAGTGGTGCTGATATATTCTTGGCAACATACGGTGACAAAGTGGATGACGTTGAGGCTGAGAAACTCAGACGTGATCACACTGATCTGACAAAGCGTTACGAGAAAGTGGCAGATGAAACTGATGACAGAAACAGTAACCTTGACGATTCAAAGAAGACACTAGACTTGTTCACTAAGAAGGTGTCATCATTTGAGACATGGTTGGTTCCTTCAGAGAGAACACTGAAGAAATTACAAGATGGTGTCCCCAAGGACCCTTCAAAACTGAAAGAACAAGAAAAGACAGCAAAGAAATTTGCTGCTGATGTTGCGGATCACAAAGAGGAACTTGATGACACTAATGAGACTGGACAACATTTTATTGATGAGGCAAAGGTATAAATAATTTTCAAAATTTACATATCTGAAGTCACTTTTCACTTCAATTCCCTGTGTAGTATATGCATTGTTCCCGAATTTGAATCATTTGTGGGAATTATTCTTTCCACAAAATTTGTGTCCAACATATTCTGTAAGTTTCCTAAATTTGAATGCTGTGTATTTGCAATTCTGATCTTTGAGATTTTTTTATGAATATTTTTTTCTGAAATTCCGTTTTTCGTAAATTGAATCCACAAGTAAGTTTGGTAGAATTACTCTTCATATTTGTTTACCTATTATAGGAATTCAAAGACATGATCACAGAGTTCCGAACAACTGTGCTACCCAGAAAGTTCAACAGAGAATACAAAGAGGAGCCAGAACTAGAAACTGTGAAAAATAAAATAACTGAGATTACAACACGATATGAGAAACTGACGGTAGAATTCACCAAACATATTGAGACACTTCATGTTATTATCATGAAACACACTACATTGGAACCAACAACAGTTGGTGTGAAATCAGTTGTGGATGATAGGGAAAAGGCTGCGGATGATAGAGAAAAGGTGAGAGTATATTCTGTAATATATTTTCTCTGCAGCTACTTCTTTTAACTCTAAGATAGATGTCAGTATCAAACAACAGGATTTCATAAATTGCAAATCATATCTTTATTTCTCTCATTGCAATCATGTTCAAACTGAATAGTTATAATTTTGTGTACACTACATATTGCTCAAACATTTTCTTTTACAATTATTGTTTTTCAGAAACTCATTAAGGATGAATTAAAGGAACATAGCTACAATCTTGAGAAGTTACTCAAATGGGTGTCAGCTGTAGAGATAAGCCTTGGATCTGAACAACCATTGAAAGAAGAGCCTAGACAACTCAATAAACAGGTTAAATCAAACAAGGTAGGCTGGAGATAAGTTTGGGATTATGGTAGATGTATGCAGAATGTTACTGACTTGAAAAAACGTTTCCATGGAAACAAAAAGTAGGAGGTACTCTGTATCAAAAATACCTTTTATTGGTGCTGCAAGTCGAGTTGTTTTCAGGGTAAAAATGTATTCCACCATGACCTTTATTTTCTTTCACACATAAACTTTTTTTTCTCTTATTCAGGTTATTGCAGCTGATGTTGATGACCACAAGAAACCAGTGACTGATGCCCTCAGTGGTGCTGATATATTCCTTGCAACATACGGTGACAAAGTGGATGATGTCGAGGCTGAGAAACTCAGACGTGATCACGCTGATCTGACAAAGCGTTACAAGAAAGTGGCAGATGAAACTGATGACAGAAACAGTAACCTTGACGATTCGAAGAAGACACTTGACTTGTTCACTAAGAAGGTGTCATCATTTGAGACATGGTTGGTTCCTTCAGAGAGGACACTGAAGAAATTACAAGATGGTGTCCCCAAGGACCCTTCAAAACTGAAAGAACAAGAAAAGACAGCAAAGAAATTTGCTGCTGATGTTGCGGATCACAAAGAGGAACTTGATGACACTAATGAGACTGGACAACATTTTATTGATGAGGCAAAGGTATAAATAATTTTCAAAATTTACATATCTGAAGTCACTTTTCACTTCAATTCCCTGTGTAGTATATGCATTGTTCCCGAATTTGAATCATTTGTGGGAATTATTCTTTCCACAAAATTTGTGTCTGACATATTCTGTAAGTTTCCTAAATTTGAATGCTGTGTGTATGCTATTCTGATCTTTGAGATTTTTTGATGAATATTTTTTTCTGAAATTCCGTTTTTCGTAAATTGAATCCACAAGTAAGTTTGGTAGAATTACTCAATTCATATTTGTTTACCTATTATAGGAATTCAAAGACATGATCACAGAGTTCCGAACAACTGTGCTACCCAGAAAGTTCAACAGAGAATACAAAGAGGAGCCAGAACTAGAAACTGTGAAAAATAAAATGACTGAGATTACAACACGATATGAGAAACTGACGATAGAATTCACCAAACATATTGAGACACTTCATGTTATTATCATGAAACACACTACATTGGAACCAACAACAGTTGGTGTGAAATCAGTTGTGGATGATAGGGAAAAGGCTGAGGATGATAGAGAAAAGGTGAGAGTATATTCTGTAATATATTTTCTCTGCAGCTACTTCTTTTAACTCTAAGATAGATGTCAGTATCAAACAACAGGATTTCATAAATTGCAAATCATATCTTTATTTCTCTCATTGCAATCATGTTCAAACTGAATAGTTATAATTTTGTGTACACTACATGTTGCTCAAACATTTTCTTTTACAATTATTGTTTTTCAGAAACTCATTAAGGATGAATTAAAGGAACATAGCTACAATCTTGAGAAGTTACTCAAATGGGTGTCAGCTGTCGAGATAAGCCTTGGATCTGAACAACCATTGAAAGAAGAGCCTAGACAACTCAATAAACAGGTTAAATCAAACAAGGTAGGCTGGAGATAAGTTTGGGATTATGGTAGATGTATGCAGAATGTTACTGACTTGAAAAAACATTTCCATGGAAACAAAAAGTAGGAGGTACTCTGTATCAAAAATACCTTTTATTGGTGCTGCAAGTCGAGTTGTTTTCAGGGTAAAAATGTATTCCACCATGACCTTTATTTTCTTTCACACATAAACTCTTTTTTCTCTTATTCAGGTTATTGCAGCTGATGTTGATGACCACAAGAAACCAGTGACTGATGCCCTCAGTGGTGCTGATATATTCCTTGCAACATACGGTGACAAAGTGGATGATGTCGAGGCTGAGAAACTCAGACGTGATCACGCTGATCTGACAAAGCGTTACAAGAAAGTGGCAGATGAAACTGATGACAGAAACAGTAACCTTGACGATTCGAAGAAGACACTTGACTTGTTCACTAAGAAGGTGTCATCATTTGAGACATGGTTGGTTCCTTCAGAGAGGACACTGAAGAAATTACAAGATGGTGTCCCCAAGGACCCTTCAAAACTGAAAGAACAAGAAAAGACAGCAAAGAAATTTGCTGCTGATGTTGCGGATCACAAAGAGGAACTTGATGACACTAATGAGACTGGACAACATTTTATTGATGAGGCAAAGGTATAAATAATTTTCAAAATTTACATATCTGAAGTCACCTTTCACTTCAATTCCCTGTGTAGTATATGCATTGTTCCCGAATTTGAATCATTTGTGGGAATTATTCTTTCCACAAAATTTGTGTCTGACATATTCTGTAAGTTTCCTAAATTTGAATGCTGTGTGTATGCTATTCTGATCTTTGAGATTTTTTGATGAATATTTTTTTCTGAAATTCCGTTTTTCGTAAATTGAATCCACAAGTAAGTTTGGTAGAATTACTCAATTCATATTTGTTTACCTATTATAGGAATTCAAAGACATGATCACAGAGTTCCGAACAACTGTGCTACCCAGAAAGTTCAACAGAGAATACAAAGAGGAGCCAGAACTAGAAACTGTGAAAAATAAAATGACTGAGATTACAACACGATATGAGAAACTGACGATAGAATTCACCAAACATATTGAGACACTTCATGTTATTATCATGAAACACACTACATTGGAACCAACAACAGTTGGTGTGAAATCAGTTGTGGATGATAGGGAAAAGGCTGAGGATGATAGAGAAAAGGGGAGAGTATATTCTGTA